CTGCCCTCTGTTCTGCAGCCTGTTTCTTTCATGTGCGGTATTTCTGAACAGGGTCTGCCTCATGATTCCTCCCATGGGACTTGGGATCCCTTGCTGTGAATGCCCTTTGCTATTACTTCCCTAGAGTCTTTGGGTTGTGCAGTCAGGATGTGCCCAATTTTCCAGCATTTGCCTCGGAATACATCCAGCTAGGTCAGTGAGTTTTAAAACCCCTGTGTCCCTTGGAGACATCCCCTTTGCCTCTCTCCAGTTATAGAAAGTGTCCAAGATGCTGTTTTTCTTTGGACGTGTTGACCCTTTGGCAAGGTGCTCAGAGGTGACATTTACTTTTTTAGAATGTTCTGGAAATTCACATGGTTTGCAGCCAGTGTTCAGACCCTCAGAGCTCCCACGACCCTCTGGGCTTTCACTACGAGTTCTGTAAAGTGGGTGGGCGGGAAAGACTAGGGTTGCTGGTTTCAGGGTCAGGACCTTGCTGTGCTTGCTGGGGTAAGTGTGCTCCGTGGGGGGGCCCTGTCCCCACCTCTGCTGCTTCTGCTCCATCAGGCTGTATTGCTGTTACAAAACCCCTCTGACAGGAACCTACACCTGTCAGGACCAGAATACCCAGATTGGTGACAGGGGCCAGGTGCCTGCTACCCCTGGCTGGAGGAGGAACGACTGTCACTTTTTTGGACAGAAGGGTTTACTGATAATTCTGCCCACAAAGGACTCTTCCCCCAGCTACCTGCCTGTTTGTTTGGCTTGGACAAGATTTTAAGCATAAGCCTTGAAGCCTGGGTGTTTAGGGCTCACAGGACAAGCTGTCATCTGTTGCTTACCATTGGGCACGCAGACCCCAGTCCAGGAAGCCCTGGACTTGTTGAGGCCTCTGCTGGAGACAGCTTCCTCTTGGCCAGGTCCTCCTCTAGACTCCTTCCCCAAGGGCCTTCAGTGTCTTTCTGCCTTGCTATCCACCTGGAAGGTGCTGATCTGCCGTGTGTACCTTCAGGGACTCTGTCTCTGCAAGGCACCCAGAGATGGACAGTCGGGATGTGTTTTAGCCCCTCCTCTGGTCATGACTCAATTTGTAGTGTCACCTGTGTCACACACTCTGTAGGGAGGGCATACATCCCAGCTACGTGGACATTGAGAATAAATGCATATTCCTGGGCCCAGACCTTCTGGGGCAGTGTGGGGATGGGGCCTGCCTTCTTGAGCACCTCCTGTGTGGGGGTTGGTGGGCTGCTAGGGTTTGGGTGTCTGGGGTAGGATTAGCTGTGGGTGGGGATGGAACTAAAATTGGTATTGTGGCTGGATGTGGTGGCGCACGCCTTTAATTCCAGCACTTGGGAGGCAGAGGCAGGTGGATCTCTGTGAGTTTGAGGCCAGCCTGGTCTACATACTGAGTTCCAGGCCAGCTGGAGAGACCCTGTGTCAAAAAGACTAAATAAATAAATAAATAAATAATTGCCGGGCGTGGTGGTGCACACCTTTAATCCCAGCACTTGGGAGGCAGAGGCAGGCAGATCTCTGTGAGTTCAGAGCCAGCCTGGTCTACATAGTGAGTTCCAGGACAGCTGGGGCTACAGGGAGACCCTGTCTCAAAAGACCAAAAAAAAAAAAAAAAAAAGGTATCTGTGATCCAGACTCCCAACTACTCCCCTAACATCCAGGCTGCTCAGTCCACTCCTCCCTTCAGAACCCTCTGGGTACGTTTGCATATGAGGCGCAGGGCGGACATTGGTTGGACGACCCGTCCAGTGTGTGGCACTGGCAGTGCAGTTTGGTTCCTCAGCAGGACTGTTCTCTTACAGAGCTCTGCTTGTCCTTGTCCACAACCACTGCACTTCTCCAGCGCAGCATGGGCTGTGAGGGTGAATGAGTGACATCAGGATGGAGCTGGTTGTCTGAGGGAGGAAGAAAAGTGTCGGGGAGGGGGGGGTTCCTCTCCATTCGTTCGTTGCCAGGGACGCAGCTGGGAAGCGGGAATGAGAAAGTTAGAGAATGTCATCCTTTGACATTTGCCTGCTCAGAAGTCCCCAGGGGCCCTGGCAAGGAGGCTTTTGATCGTCAGTGGAGAGAGCTAACCCTGGGGACTCCTGGCTCTCTGGTCTGAGAGTGAGGGGCCACGGCTAGCGGCATTGGGGGGAGGGGGCTTCTTCATACCTTTCTTTTCCTGCGGGAGCTGGTTCCACTCCTGCCCTTCAGTACTGCAGACTTCCCGTGGGGCCTCCAGCCCTGATCTGACCCAGGGTTCCCTCAGGATCCCACATATGTCCTGAAGACCCTCCCTGGGGTCACTGGAGTCGGCTCTCCCCTGCACAAGCCAGACAGGAGGCACATAGCGTATTTGGATGGAGGGACAGGCACCCCGGCATAATTGTTCGTGTTGAAGGAACTCCCTGCATGCTGCCGTGGCCCCAAAGCTGAGTCCTCACAAGCAGCTTGTGATGGCTTCCATCTTGCAGCAAGGTATGAGTGTCTAGGGCTTGGCTGAGGGCACCTTAGGAGCAATGCTGTTCCCTGGGACACAGACCTCTGGACACGGGAGACCCACATCTGTCTGTCCATAGTCATGGGCTCCACCTTGGGCATGAGGCCTTGGTGGTGAGTCTGGGTCGGCTCCCAGACTGGACTGGGGCTGGCTGATGGCTGGTGCCACCTTGGGATTCTGCTAAGGTTTTTGTGCCTGTGTTGACTCATGGTGAAGAGTGTGTCGGCTGATTAGCAATGTTTACCACAGGAGGCCTAGAAAAGACACAGTGCCTGTGCCTCACTCTGACCAGACCCTTCAAGCTCTACATTTCCATTTTGCTGTTAAATAGCTATAAGGGCATCATATTGCCTTAAGTTTTACCCTCATAAATTTCGAAACAGATTTTAAAATATTTTATTTATTATTATTATTATTTTAAATATTTTAATTTATTATTTTTATTTTATGTGTATGAGTGTACTGCCTGCATGTATGTGAGTGCACCCGTGTCATGCAATGCTGCGGAGGTCAGAAGAGGGCTTCGGATTCCCCTGGAACTAGAGTTACAGATGGTTATTAGCCGTCATGTGGGTGCTGGGAATCGAACCCAGGTCCTCTGCAATAGCAGCCAGTGCTCTTAACGGCTGAGCTGTCTCTCTTGCCCCCCACCTAAATATTTAGAGCTTGTAAAAGCCAAAAATAATGCCCAAAGCAACTCCACTTGTTCCTTTGTGAAAGGCCCCTCGTAGCACAGGCGGGTAGGAGCCACTCCGGGGTCAGCTGCAGATCAGCACTTTGAGATTTGTCTGAGGAAGCACAGAAGAACCCAGTCATTCCCGATCCTAACTTCCCCCGAGTCCCGGTCCATGAAATAAGCCGGGACACACCCCCCGCTGTGGGCGAGTCCAGCTTTCCACTGGGCAGAGGGCCTCACTGTGGTGTTTTCCCTTTAACATTGCCTAAAGGAAGTTCAGGGAGCGTGTCCTTGCTGGGTGTTTGTGTGAGTGAAGGCAACTCTGTTTTCCTGTCCACTAAGTAGGCAGTTAGAGAGGCAGAGGGTCCAGAGGGTAGTGCGTGTGATGCCTTCTGAGCTGTTTCCCAGGACCGTCAGCGCCTAGGGTGTTGTCTAGAGTGAGCAGTGCTTTAAGGGACTGTCCTTGTTTTCTTTCCCAACTCTGAGTGTGTGCGTGTGCGTGTGTGTGTCCACACACACGCACACAAACACCCATGAGAATTTGCAGCATGCGCATGCAGAGACATATAAAATGATAAGCAACACACCCAACCATGCACCTGTAGGACATACACGTACACTTTTACACACACAAACTTGTATACGTGTGTACTGATGGCCGTGCATATTTGTCTCCACAGTACACACATGAACCTGCATAGACAAGTGAGCTTGCAGACATGTACTGACAGCTGTGCACATTTATACACATAGTGCACGCATGTGAACCTGCGTGTCCACGTGAGCTTGCGCATACAGTCCGCATACATGAAAGGGCATGCACACGTGAACTTGTGTACTCGCGTGTGGCCGTCTCAAAGCTGAGGCTTGCACCCGCTCCCCGGTGCCTGCTGTTGGGCTCGCATGGTGCCCTGTTCACCCCGTTGGATGACTTATGAGTGCCCTCCTTCTCTTGTGTGTCATGCTTTGTATTCTTGAGCTGGTCATCCCCCCCCCCTCAGTTTCTCAGTTTCTGTCGGGTGCCTTTGGGCCTGGGATGGGGTCCTGTCTGTCTGGAAGCACCTGGGTTAATCAGGGCTGGACCTGGTCACAGGGGCAGAGGAAGAAGCAGCCCCATTGCGGCTGGCCCCATGTTTCAGAGCTTCTGTTTGGAGAAATGGTCAGCCTGGGGAGACATTACATAGACCCTGTCATGTGGCTCTGAGCTTGGCGCTCCTTGTCCTGCGGCATCTTAACCTCTCCAGGAAGCTGGGTGTCTGTTGAGGTGTCAGATCGGAGGCTGTTGCATGGAGCATGGAGAGAAGCAAGTACATACATATTTGTGTCCGTGTGATGCACGAGCTGCAGCGTGAGTATGGTCGGTCACTGGACCTCTCTGGGCATCCATGTCTCCATCTCTGAGATGGATTGATGTTCACTGTGAATGTGAGCTGTTGCTAATCATATAGTGTCTTTCAGAACAGCAGTGTGGGATGAACCCTTTGTAAGTGTGACCTCAGTTAAGACTCACAGCAACCCTAACAAGGCAGATCTTTGCTGGGCTTAAGAAAGCAATTCAAGGTGGCTCTGCACTGGAGGGCAAGAGGGAGTGCAGCCTCGTGAGCTGAGACCCACTTCTCCCTGAGGTACCATATCACGAGTGAGGCAGCCCTCAGCAAATATCAGCATGGCCAAATGACAGATTTCACACAATAAACAGGGCCCAGGTGCTGCGTCGGAAAAGCTTTCTGCCATCTCGTACTAGATGTGCTTAGGTAACAATTTCTGGTGCTCGCAGGACACTTAGTTCGATGTTGTGATGACTTCCCCATGGTCTGATGTTATAAGAGCTCTCTCTTGTCTCCCCAGGTCATCTCTGCAGTGTCCCGACTGTCCCTGCACAGCATCGCGCAGAACAAAGGGATCAGGTGAGTTCCGAGTGACGGGGTGGACCGTTTAATCTTGATGCTACCCTGTACCTTTACGGGTGCTGGGGTTGTGCAGACACCCTCTGCCCTCAGAGGTCTGTATCTTGTGCTGGGGTCGCCTGTTGGCAGCAGCTGAAGGGGTGTGGAGGAGGGGCCTGTGGGTTCACACCAGGGAAATCTTGCGAGTATGTTACTGACGGCTGCAAAATCACTTTCGATTTAGGTAATAAGATCAGCAAATTAATCCTTTCACAGATCATTGCCTACCTGAATGCACCCTCCCCCGCTCCGGGACTGGGTTCTGGCACAAATACAGGACTGGCATGGCTTTGCAGGGTTGGGGCTGAAGCATAGTGTGCTTCCCTTCCCCCTTCTCACTGGCTGTGGGGCTCCAGTGGGGTGTCTGGAGAACCCAGCCCAAATAGATTGCCTCAGTCAGATGATCTACTTGGATTGCCAAGTTCAGTCGCAGACACTCCTGAGGCCTTGTGGCCTCCATCTCTGTTATGTGGATGGGGAGAGGGTTGGGTGACTCACTCGAGAACTGGCCATTGCAGATTCTGACCCCTGGGATCTACAGGTCAGGGAGATACTGCCCATGGAGGTAGGTTCCAGGTCACTTGGGGACAAACACGAGGGGTTCCCTAGCCTTTTGTGCCTGGGGACCCCTGCGGTCAAGGGCTATTGGCTAGGGGACAGGAAGAGCCCCTTCTGAGAGTTGACTGTGTGGGTCATGCCTGGGTACAAGTGATATCTGGGTACCGTCCACTGAGGTGCTGTCAGGGGACACTGCTTTCCCTTTAGGCTTGGTGTCCCAGGCTACATGCTGGGTCTCAGGGGAGCGCGGTCCCTCAGTGGTGGCTGTTGGCTCAGGTACAGAGTAGCAGGTGTTGAATCAGTGTATCCATGGGGTGTCTGCTGCCCGGGTTCTCCAGGGATTTGAGGATTCCTTTGAATCAAGGCCTTTCTCCTTTTATCAGACAGAGGACAGGCTGTTTTAAAATGAACCTGGAAACAGAAAAGGATGCTGTAATGCATCTAGGGTTATAAAGATCAGCAGCCGAGAGTTGGAGTGATTGCATGTACACCCGTAACCCCAGCTGACACTGAGGCAGGTTTGAAAGTTGAAACTAGTCTGGGCTACACAGTGAGACTCTCTCTCAAAAACAGCAGCAACAACAAAAATAAAACTGACACAAAAACCAAACAGTCATAGTCAGCAAGCTGGTTCCCTTGGCTCCCAGGGCTTTCCAGAGCAGGGCTCACACCTGCTGAATTCCCCGCCCCCCCGCCTGCCCTCCCTCCCCTCTTCACCTGTATAGGCTGACTGCTGGTGTTGTGACGTCCATAAGGGGTTCTGCTTAGAAATACTCAGTTTTGGGGCCTAGAGAGATGGCTCAGCAGTTAAGAGCACTGGCTGTTCTTGCAGAGGACCTGGGTTCAGTTCCCAATACCCCCATGGCAGCTAACAACCATCCCATCATTCCAGTTCTGGGGATCCAGCATCCTCTTCTGGCCTCTATGAGCATTGTACACATCTACATACATGTAGGCAAAACATTCCTCCATGTAAAATAAACATAAATAAATGAAAATTTGAAAAATTAGGTTTTTTTTAAAAAAAGTGTTTTTGGATACAAGGACAGCACGTGGTTTTGGAGTTTCTGTTTCAGGGACTGATGGGTTATGAGATCTTTCCTGTGCTGGTATGTCACCCTGGTGGCCATCAGGATCATGGCTGTGCATCCTGCCTGGTTCAACACATGCTGCATCAGTGTGTATTCACAGACAGGAGTGACATTCAGTAAGATTCAGTCTGCCCCATACAGAATCCTAAAGGTGCCCTCCTCTCCCCCAACATGTTGCAGCCTCCCCAGACTAGAGGGGCTTGAAGAGAATTGACTCCCTAAGTTATCCTCTGGCCTCCACGTGTGTCCTGTGGCACATGCCCCCATCCCCCAATAAATAAATGTAATCATTTTGTTAATGAGGGAGGAGCTTCCTGTACACTGGTGGGTGGCCTTTCCCAACCCTGGCTTTCCATGCTGTTTTCGTAGCCTGTCATCCTGATAGCTAGATACCACCTCACTCCTCCTTTCCCTCTGGTCTGAGCCCAGCCTAGAACTTCCAGGGAAAATGGCCTGTCAGTTCCCACATCCCTGTATATGTGGCATCTGAACACTTTCTCTTCTTACACACATGGGTTGAGGCTGTCACAGAGACCTGAGCATTCTGAGGGCCCCACCAGCACTTCCTAAGACACCAGCCAAATTCTTCCTGTAAGAATGCTTCCCGGTGTTAGTGATTAGCGGAAGGTTTTGTTTGGCCAAATGCTTTCCATTTTTGAAAACCCACACACCAAGCCCCACTGCCCCAGGATGCTCCCTGGATTCCTCATGCCTGGATAGGAGCCCAGCATGCTGTTTAAAAAAACATCCTTTTCACAACCCTTGCACTTTGCATAATGAGCTGATTTGCTATACAAGCCTCAATTATACTTCTCATAGGCCGATGAATTGGAGACTTAATCTGAATCTCACCCAGCACCATAGGGGGCTCAGACTTGGGGATGGGGGGTGACGGTGGAGGGAGAGGGGAAAGTCAATTCCAGGAGTGTGGAGTAGGGGGGCCGTTTGTCATTGCCCAACACCCTGCAGGTTGTGGGGTGTCCTGACTTGAGTTCAGAATGGCTGAAAGGAAGGACAAAGGGTAAAACTGTACGACAAGGGCTAGGCTGAGGAAGGATGCTCCTACAAGCCAGGTGACCTCTGGAGCAGATGTGCTTAGCGCCCCTGTCTCCACCCCTTAGGGCTGCAGTGTGGTGTGCCTCTCCTAGGGCTCAGTGAATGCCCACAGGCTACTGACCATCAAGATGGACTGAATGGTACCTCCCCCCTCCCTGAAAATCCACCGTCCTTCCAAGCACTAGGCTCAGGTGTGATAGGGAAACAGATTTCTACACATGTGATTTTGCATGTGTATGATAAGAGAGGTTCAGGGAGGCAAGGGTCAGAGAGTTGAGAAGTGATGATGGACACAGAGGTTGGGATGGTGTAGCCTTTGGCCAGGATATGCAGGGAGGGCTCACAGCTAGAATGGTTGGGGGAAGGGCCACTTTCCCCCTGGAGCCTCTGGACCGGACACATGGATGCTCTCCAGAGTCCTGTTTTATTTACTTTATTTGTTTGTTTGTTTGTTTGTTTATTTATTTATTTATTTATTTATTTTTTTGGTCTTTCTGAGACAGGGTCTCCCTGTAGCCCCAGCTGACCTAGAACTCACTATTTAGACCAGGCTGGCCTTG